GGGGCGGCTGCAGCGTGTAGCAGCGCCTGGGGGAAGCAGCTCGCAGGCAATACTTACATCCAGGTCGTCCATGGCCGGGGGGGGACCTTTGTCCGTCACCTTCTCCAGGAGCTGGATGGGAAAAAAACGGCTGTGGGAACTCCGAATCCCTAGCTCCACCCCCATCCCAAGCACCCACCCCACACGCGCCCTGGGACACCAAGGCTTGCAGCCCGGCTCACCTCTGCATACTGCTCCACCATGGCCCTCTCCACCTCCTCGTCCCCTTCCCAGTCTCGCCAGTTGTCAAAGTCCACGGAGAGCCAGGCTGGCTGTGGGCAGAGAGAGCATCGCCTGAGGGAGGGAGCAGCACGGAGGGGACCGGGCAGCCCTGTCCTCACGGCCCAGGCATTGCTCTGTGGGGTGAGCGCAGACTGCTCCTGCTCAGGCGAGGGGACTGGGCAGGCTGGGGCAGGGCAGGAAGGGGAGTGTGTCCTTTCATCTGTGGGTGCTGGTCCTGACTCCGCCTGTGTCGAGGGAAAGGGGTGCTGCGTCCTTCCTGGACGGCAGAGGTCCATGGACTGGCAGTGACCGTGAGGTTGGGGTCTTTGGGAGCTCTGTGTTGGGATGCCCGCGTGGGGCCCTCGGTGTCTGTCCTGGGGGCAGGTTGGTCCCCAGGACCCATGAGGTGCTGTGTGGGGACAGCACATGTGCTGAGGCTGGTCCTGGCTGCCAGGGGCCACACACACCTTGATGTTCTCCTTGGTGATACGGGGCCAGGCCACTTTCTCCTTCCACTTCCGCATAAAACATGTGATGGAGCGGTCGGAGCGCTTCTCCCGTGAGTCCTGCCAAGAGATTGGGGGTGCCACATCTCAGTGTCTGCCAGAATCCTCTCTGTAATCCACTGCAGACACACACAGGATTAAAGCTCAGCCGCATTCAGGCTGTGGGGGACACAGAACCACAGAGACAGGTTGTTTCTGGCCCCAGGTAGCACTGCAAGTGCCCGGCCCAGGGTCAGGGCTCACAGGCTTGTGCTGACCCCACTCAGGCTCTTGGGAAAGGGGCAGGATTCAATGCTAAGCGGTGTTGCTCAAGACTGCACAGGCTGGATTTAATTCTGAGCCCGATGCAGGCTGTCAGAGAACAGTTTGCTGGGCGGAAGCCTCACCTTGGAGTTGACCCTGGCATACAGGTTGATCTCGTTGTAGAACTCCACACCATCTGCATTTTTGCAACTGCCAAAACACCGTAACAGCCTGGTTTAGGAGAGGGCTGAGGCCACACGTGCCCCATCCCCCAGACCACCCCCAGTTCAGGGCCACGTCCCTGGTTGGCAGGGCAGTGGCAGCTCACCTGAACACCAACCGCTGGTCCTCAATGATGACCTTAACATCTGTGCTGTCCTCGACACAGAACTCCAGGTAGACGTACCGTGGGCGGTCGTACCACAGTGTCTTTGCCGGTTGCCTTGGGAAAGAGCAGACCAGCAGGTTTTTCCGCGGTGCCCAGCAGCACTCCACAGGGACCGTGCGAGACACGGGGTGGGAATTGGGGCAAGGAAGGTGCCCCAAACATGTACCCTGCCTGGGCCGAGCTCCAGGGCTGGCAGCGAGAGCGAGGTGGGTGCAGGGCCCGGGCGGTGGGCACGCAGCTCTCCCCTCTCACCCTCCAGACGGCCCCTCGCCTCGGCAGCCAGGGAGGCCCGGCAGGCCGGCCTGCCCTCGCTCTCCACTGCCATTGCTGGAGGGTCCCGGCCGGGGCCCCGCGGCGCTGGGCCCTGCCCGGTGCTGCCTCAGGCTCCGGGACCGGGGCGGGCGCCCGAGACCCTGACCGGACACTGCCCCGGGGACAGGGCGCCGCGCGGGGGTGCCGGGCGCTGCCCGTCCCGTCCCGTCCCGTCCGGCCCGAC